CTTGGGCCGGGGAGAGAGAGAGAGAAGGTTTTGGCCCGACTTTCGGCCCAAAGCCAAAAGAGACTTTTAAAAACCTTTTTCAATTTAAATTATTCATGAAATGCAATTCCATTTATTAAAAATACTTCCTTAGCTCAAATAAATCCCAGAAAAATCTAGAAATTATAGAATTAAGCAAAGTATTTAATGAAATTTTATCTGGCCCCATTTTATATTGGAATTTATTAATTAAAATTAGATCTTCTCTTTTAGGCTTTTAAAATAAATTCTAATAATTCCATTTAAACAACAATTTATATATTTAGGATTTTTAGGGTGTGACAATTCAGCAATATATCAACTCAAAAAATTGCCATTCACAAACATATCAACCCAGAATTTTAGCATCCAGCAACATATTAACCCAGAAATTCAACATTCATCAATTCATCAAACCAGAAATTCAGCATACAACAATACTTTTATTCATACAACTAAGATTTGGCAAATGGACTACAACAAGCTGTCCACACGAATTAAATAAATAAAAGAGTTCATAGTACAAATGAAATGTAGCAAATAAGGTAGAAATACAGGTTGCATAGCTACATATTACACTCCATGATGGTTATTACGGCAACCCACATCTGATCAGCTAAACCCTGCCTGAATTAAACCATCAATGCATGGTCATTCGCTTGGCCGGTTGACGATTCATCAATGTCCTCACTTCACCAATCAGATGGAGCTATCATCTCATCAATTCCATCATTTATGACCTAGTTATGAATAATACAACAGGCTACAATAATATCTACTTGAATTTGAAATGGGAAGAATGGAGTGGCATCATCTAGAACTTTGAACCTCCTCTTTAGTGACCCAAATGCATGTTCAACCGTTATACGGAGGGATGAGTGTCTAAGGTTGAACAACTCTTTCTCATTTTGCACCGGATTATTCCCCCACTCATTCAAGTGGTACCGGACAGCACGAAAAGGAGGCAAGAATCCTTTTTAGGCTTCATATCCAGCATCAACTAGATAGAATTTTCCTATTATATGATTGATAAGTTGGTCACATTCCTAAATATCAACATTTGTCATGAAGAATTTGATAAACTATAGTAATCTATTACCTTGTGGGACATGAAGGCCATTTTCACGTTCCAAAGCATCTCTTAAAACTACAGCATCATGTGTTGTCCCCTCCCAACTAGCCAGGACAAAAGTAAACCGAAGATCAAAATCTACGGCCACCATTAAAATTTGAGTGGCATGGGACTTCCTACCACGGAATGAAGATTCAACATTCTTACGAACAGAGGCTCTAATATGTGTGCCATCAATAGCTTCAATGCAATCCTATTTTGTGTTCAACAACATTAAAAATTAGGGACAATATATCAATGTTCACATAAATATAAAATGAGATAGGGATGAATCTCACACCTTAAAGTAAGGATCCCATCTAGGATTTCCTGCTATTTTAGTTGGAGTGTCCAATGAGGGGGGTCTGATAAGTTCATCTCGTAGCTCACCAATTGCATTAAGGACTTTGTTAAAATAACGACTTACTGTTTCTCCAGACCTATCATAATTAGTGTGAACTAATCTATTTCTAAGGTTATATCCCACCGTATGCAGAAACGTAGCCACTTGTTCCTCAATACACATGTGGATGGTATCTTCAAGTAAACCACGATCCCTAAACAACTTACAAAAACGAAAAAAACTTCCTCTTCAAAGTCTAAACATGTTGATACAAGTTGTATCATTCCTCCAAATTTTCGTTTCTAGGTACTCAATTCTTATCCTATCCCTTTCAACCATTGGGCCATATCTAATACCTTCTCTCCTTGAACCTCTCGTTCTTTTTCTAGACCGAATAATCATGGCCATCATTGATAACAATAAATTTGTAGCAGCAATACAACCTAAAAGGTTGGTCTCTTATCCATCTACAATACAACAATAAAAATAACACATTACCATCATCTACTGTTAAGAAATTTACCCAAAAAAATAACACATTGTTGAACTAATTATACTACAACATTCTTGAACAAAAACAGACATGCACAGATCTATAAACGAAATCCCCATTCAGTGTTTAGGGTATTTTTACCTTGAACAATGGAAACCGAGCTCTGTAGTTTGTGGGTAGGGATGGAGAGGATGAGGATGAGTAGCAACTGGCAATGGAGGAGGCACCACCAGCTTAGCGCGCCGTCGGCTCGCCCCAACTCCCACAACTACCTCGCCCTGCTCGCACCGCCACCTCGCTCTTTTTGCGCCGCCGCCTTGCCTCAGCTCGCGCCGCTGTCTCGTCCCTGCTCGCACGCCGCCGCCGCCTCACCTTGCTCACGCCGCCGCCTTGCCTCAGCTCGTGCCGCCGCCTCACCCTTCTCGCGCCACTACCTCTCCCTTCTCGTGCACCGCCGCCTAGCCCTGCTCGCGCCGCTGCCTCGCCTCAGCTCACACCGCTGCCTCGTGCGCTTCCGCCGTCGCCATTAACCCTAACCCTAGAAACGGACTTGTGAGGAGGAGAAAAGAGCGAAGGGAAAAAGAGAAGCGGTGGAAATATGCGGTGGGACGCGAGGTTTACTGCGCGAGACGTGTGAAATCACGGGCGCGGAAATCGGATGGTGCGGTCCGCTACTTTTTCCCGGACGAAGCGGTCCCGAATATTGAAGGAATATTCCCTTTTTGAACCATCCCATCCCTTCTAGCCTCTCAACCAAACACATCTAAAAATGGGATGATCCCATCCCATCCCGGGATATCCCTCCAACCAAACACTACCTAACAGGATCCCGTACTCCAGCTACCCTCATATCTATATGAGATTCTTTGGTGATTGATGATTTTTATGCTACAATAAAAAATCATCTAAAGGTGAAGATTGTTAAATATATGATCTGAATTTCAACCCTCAGTATATTTGGATTAATTTTCGAGGACTCCAGATCTTTTCATATTAGGATTCTTAAATTTTCCCCTTTATATCTCTTGTTAGCTGTATGGAAAGAGTGCAGCAACCCATTGCTATTCTTTGCATTGTAATCAATCCTAAACAACAATCATTGTTAGTCGGCGTCTTGTTGACGAAAAATCCACGCCCGGCCGGTGGTGCCGCAACTGTGTTGGTGCGAACTAGGTCAACGAACACAACGGCCTGGGATATCTGCTTAACTCCAGTGCAGGTCCTATAATTGATGAGATACGGGCATGCTAGTCAGTTTGGTTCTATAACTGAAAAGCTAGATAAATAGTAGATCAAATAGCCGATCGGCTGACCAGCTGATGGAGCGATATTAACCGATGTCGATAGGGTATTGAGCAATCGTCTATATGTTCAATGTAGATTCTGACACTTGAGTGAATAATGATACATAGTCAATCGGTTGATAATAATGTAATTAAGCAATAATATAATCTAATAGAAACCAATCGGCTAACAATGATACGATAGAACAAACACTTATTCGAAGGTTAAAGCATACATCGGCTGAAAGTCTGATGTCATTAAATCCAAACGATTAGATAAACAATAAAACCATTGCTGCAATCAGCTAAATCCAACTTGTATGCAATCTTATAAGCCGATGCAACGTCCAAATAACTCATCGGCTAAAACTCCGATGAAACCCCTATTAGCAATCAAAGGCAGATTAGTTTTTATGTTTCTAAGCACGGCTAAGGTTGATGCAACTCGAAGTATACAAAGAAACATAAAGTCTAAACAGTCAAGCCTTTGACTGATTTTAAGAGTGGTGGATACCTTAGCTAATCTAATCTAACAAAGCAATTTTCCTGATACTGGCAAAAAACCCTAAAGTAGATCCCAACCGATACAAGTAAATTGAGCAACCAAACTAGGTTAACTAAGATATATGTTAAATAGGTAGACAAATATATCAACCGAACTAGAGCGATCAACTGAAATTTTTACATTTTGGTCCTTTTTGAAAACTTATTTTACAAATACATTTTGGTCCTTTTTGAAAACTTATTTTACAAATAGACCCCTGGGAAAACTAAAACCGGAAATGGTCCTTTTTGGGGCGCCAGAGTGGCTGGTGCCGTACCCCAACATTGGCGCCGTGCCCATGCCATCGTGGCACTAGGGCCGTCGTGGCGGTGCTGACTGGGCAAAGTGGGGCACCAGCCACACTAGCGCCGCCCCTCATACCACGGCGCCAGCATGACTGGCGCGCCCCTCCTCTGCAGGCCCCACCAACTTTCTCGCCCCCCCAAATGTTCGCCAAGTCTGTTCTGCCTCCGGGCAAAGGCTGGCGCCCCCCCCCCAGACAGCGGCACCAGGGTGGCTGGCGCCGCCCTTCTCCCCGCCCGACACTCTTCTGCCTCCGGGCCATGGCTGGCGCCGCCCTCATGGACCACGGCGCCAGGGTGGCTGGCGCCGCCCTCCTCCCCCACCAAAACCCTTCTGCCTCCGGGCCTCGGCTGGCGCCGCCCTCATGGACCACGGCGCCAGTGTAGCTGGCGCCGCCCTCCCCCCACACCGAAACCCTTCTGCCTCGCGGCAGTGGCTGGCGCCGCCCTCCCCAACCGCGGCGCCAGGGTGATTGGCGCCGCCCTCCGCCTCACTGCAAATTGAAGATCCATATTGCACAAATGTACCAATTCACAGTTCGCAATTCAAATCACAATTCACAGTTTCATACAGAATAAAACAAGTTCCAATTGCACAAATCACAATGCCAAAAGTCCATCACATAGTCCATCACATATTCCACACATCAAACAATGCCAAAAGTCCATCACATATTCGACACATCAAACAATGCCAAAAGTCCATCCTATATTCCACACATGAAACAATGTTCAAAAGTCCATCACATAGTCCTCACATAGTTCATCACACAAAGTCCTCACATAGTCCATCACATAGTCCTCACATAGTCCATCACATTTTATATCACATAGTGCACCACATATGTCATACTACCAACAAATAGATTAACTTCATACAAATCACTTCTTCCGTTGGCGCCGAATAGCTTGCGAGCCCGGAGTGTATCTACATTTGAAAATCCAATGTTTAAAACATTTTAAAAACAAAATGAGGGAAATCAAATAACATTTGAGAATGGTAAGCTCATTTTACCTCTTTTTCGCTGCCCGAGTGGATCGCAAGTTGTATTGCGTGGGTTGCGTCCCCTGAGGCGCGTCGGGAAGCTGCGACATGTCTATCTCCTCAGCGTCTGGTGCGATGTAGTCCTCATCCTCCTCGTTGTCGTCGTCATCGTCGTCGCTAGGTGGAGCCGGCGCCTTCCCCTTTCCCCTCCCTTGCGGAATGTGTGACGACGACGAGCCACCAACTTCTTCACGCTCTTCTATCCTGATGGAGTGTCGAGCGGTACTTGGACGCGCGGATTGAGGTAGTGGTGGTAGTAGTCTCCGCGGTTGGTACACGTCGTCCAATCCAACCGACCTGCAACCTAATCTTGCTGCAAGTTTCCGGCACCTTTGACGAACTTTCTGCATTTCAAAAAAAAAAGAAGTTTGTTAGGCATAACTCAAGTAATGCAAAGTGCTAAATAAATTTTACCTCTAAAACATTGCAGAGTGTGTTCTCTGTGTCCTCACCACCCCTCGGAGCTTGGAGGGCATGCCCCATTTCATTCACACTCCTGAGGAGCTCTCTCGACTGAAAGCGTGAGAAGATATATGTTAGGGTCTAGGGTGCGAATGGAAATAACTTTGACAAATGCAAGAAAACTTACGACTCTGTCTCTAAGTGGGGCGTGCTCCATTTGATATCCAACTCTGGTCCGGACATCATAGGGATTCCGCCCCTCATCGGAGTCGCGGTCATCCTCTATGTCGGCTTCCGTCCAAGTAGGGCGGAGGAACAGTCTATATGTCCTATGCAGCCAACGAAGGTACTCTGAGAAAAGATGATTTTGGTGTATAGTCTCGATGTACCTGTCGTTCCTTCCAGCTGTCCTCCATTCATCAATGTATCTGTTATTCTCTAGCCCCCAATCTTTCACCTTCTTTGTTTTCACCCTGTCATACCTAGACAAGTGGAAGGTGATGAAACAATAGTGAGCATCGACAAGGGTTAAATGGTACAAAATTGAACATTGACAATGAAAGCAAACAAAGATAAGAAATATTTACTTGTGTAATTCAACTCCAGTTGAGATGTCCTCAACCGGCCAGTCTTGTTTCTTCCCGAACTGTCGCATGACATGGTGCGGAAGGTGGTACTCAACTGCCCAGAAACAAATCAATGGGCACTGGTACATGAAGTAGTCAGAGTCTCGATTGCATATCGAGTTCAGGGTCAGGCTTGAAGCCTCATTTGTGTGGTATGGTAACCACTCAATCTGCAAAAGTTGAAGAGATGTCATTGGTTAGTATCTCAATTAAAGAAGTAAATGTCTAACTAGAAGTGATATTGGAAGTACTTACATGTTGAGGCTGTAAGCAGTCCATCTCATTGACATAATGCTTGTATGCCACATCCCGGTGAGCATGTGCAGTGGCAGTACTCTCAAAAAGGTAGGCCACTGTCTTCTCCATGTCTGGCTCATTGTAGGGCCAAGGAGTGAAGCTTTGCCTCCACTTAGGCCTTCCAACCGGTAGTCTTAACCACATCCACAGCTGAATCAATAGCACATAACCACTCATGTTGGATGATGGTGCCTGACGACAACAGGCCTCACAGAGCTGTTTATATGTCCACGCCAACACTGCTGAGCATCAACTGAAACGGCCCAGATCACCAATGTTGGCGACCAAAGGAATCCATATCCAAAGGAATCCTATTTGCGGCAGAATTGACAACACGGTATGGACGATGGTGCACGATGGCGTACTCCTGGAGCCATAGCTTCAATGCGACCATGGATGGGAACTCTAAACCCTTTCTGAGACCATCCACCTGGAATGGTTCTGGCAACTGATCTAGGGTGATGCCGCCATCTAGTATTGCACCATGGGCATGTGTTAGGTCCCTAAACTTAGGAATGTCCGGCTTCCTCCCAAACACCTTCTGAAACGCACGACATTCCTCTAATGCTAACTTGTCATTGTTAGTTAGTGGAGGGAATGGACGGTCATCATCAGAGTCTTCAGCAAAACATCATATTGCTCAACACTTGCCTCCTCGTCAACCTCCTCTCTATTGACTTCTACTGAGACAGAATCGTGACCACCACTCAATTCGACATCAAAGTAATCATCTGGATTCACATATTGGCCTTCTACTTCCATCGGGTATTCAGGGTTGCCTCCGTACAATGACCAATGCACACTCTCCGACAAATGTTCACTTAGATCAAGCCCCTCTTGTACTAACTCCCTTTTCATCTCCCTCGCTGCATTCACATCATCACTACCGCAATGTCTCTTTGATGGTCCTGCCTCCCCTAAATCATTTCCAAGCAAAGGTCTCTTCTTATCTCCTTCCCCCTCCAAGTCTCCTCGTACCAACTCAGTATTACTTGCACCCCCTCCACGACGAGAAGAATATGTCACAAAATTCTTCTCAACGTAATGATAAGAAGGAGATTTATTTAGATCCAAATTTTCTACGGTACGTACCAACTTTGATGCAAACACCTCTAGAGCTCTAAACTGAGACTCTTTTACCAAATCAAAATAAACTTCCCATTCCAACTAACCTATCACATTTAATATATACTTATGCCCTTGACCAACATCGTATCTCCCATAAAAACAAATCTCCACATTATCCTCAGTTCATCCAAGAACTTCTTTCACTCGTGACCTTAGTTTATCTAGAGTTGGGTGGGTGGGAAACAAAATGGTCTTAAATGACATATCCTCAAACTCAACATGTGCACCAACATAAGGTTCCACCACTCTACCACCGTAGTAAACACGAACAATTCTATCCATCTACACCAAAAAATCAAATGTAACTTTGCAACAAAAATTAAATCTTCATTCCTAAACGTAGTCCAAACCGACATATTATAACCAATGCATAACTTAATTTGTCCCAAAGCTACTACTCCAAAAAAAAATTTAATCCACCTACAACTATCAACAAGTTTACTAGTGCATTACACATCGAAATATTACAAATACTCCGTCATACAACCCAACCTAGTTCTAATTAACTATAATCAATTTCTATAATGCAACCAAAATTTTCTCCCCTTCATATAATTAATGGTTAATAGTTTAACCTATAGGCTATAGCATCAAGTCCATCAAATTAAAATTACTTTCATGCCTCAACCCTAATTTTTCATCCATCCATCCAACCAAACCATCCAAAAATTAACATTACCACATATATGGTTAAAAAAATCGTGACACCAATGAGTACATTGCAAACATATAGCACTACAACAAGCCAATCTCAAGAACAAATGCTAAAAATCACAAATTTGGGCAAAAAAGGGGTTCTAGGGTTACCCTCCGATCTACAAATTCAACAAATAAAAACGAAAAAAAAGAGGGGGGAATGGAGGAGTCTACCTTTCTCTTCGATTTCCACAAAAAATCCCGTGAAAAACAGCTTCAAATTGAGTGGATTTGTGGTGGAGAGGTGAGGGGGAGAGAGAGGGGAAGAGTTGCTGCGCTGCTGCTCGGGCTGCTGCTTGGGCGAAAATAGGAGTGGGGAGGAGAAAGGTGGTGGGGCCCACGGGGTTTAAGGGCGCGGCCCACAGAGGAGGGTCGCGCCAGCCATGCTGGCGTCGTGGTATGAGGGGCGGCGCCAGTGTGGCTGGCGCCCCCCTTCTGCCCAGTCAGCACCGCCACGACAGCCCTAGTGCCACGCTGGCACGGGCACAGCGCTAGTGTGGCTGGCCGCCATGTTGGGGTACGCGCCAGCCACTCTAGCGCCCCAAAAAGGACCATTTCCGGTTTTAGTTTTCCCAGGGGTCTATTTGTAAAATAAGTTTTCAAAAAGGACCAAAATGTAAAAATTTTAGAGCGATCAAAGAGATCGAAGTGATGCAGCCTTGAACAACACCAACGTAGCTGATACAATTGCTTGGGCCGCTAGAATGTAGGACTTACCCCTTCGTTGGAGATCAAAAGCCGATGCAGCCCCGCGTCAGGTACCAAGTTCCGATGGATAATGCATAAAACCTCGGAAAAGAGGGGGGTGATGCGCCGAGAGTAGTTGTATTGATCTGTGAGATAATTTACAATCACCCTGGGTGTACATATTTATACCCATGGATAGATACTCGTACTTATTGGACAAGAATGAAATTTTCTTAAAAATAAAAGGAAAATATAAAGTCCTTATCTGTAACATCCTGAAAATTCCCAACAATAAAAATCACTAAAATTTCGAACTTTTTAAAATTTTTTGCATCATGCTGGATGTTATGGTTATTATTGCTTGCCAAACCATAAATCGACATAGTGGAAAAATCAATTTAAAGATCTACACCTGAGCAATAATTAATAATTACGATTTACAATGATACGATATTTATTATCAATCCCATAAATGTTTATGCACATGAAAGCAAAGCCAAATAAAGTACAAGTTAATTATTAAACCCTGAAGTATAAATCACAAATCAAATATTAAATAATCGAACCATGTTGATAGCCTGATTTCATATTTAACAAAAGGAAACAACAAGGTTAAATCTAATTCATTTGGATCCATTCTCACATGAAATTAATAAGTACACATGAAATAATGGTCGCCACCATAATGACCCTATTTATGTTTCACTCAAATATTTACATTAATATTTAAAACACTTGATCAAGCCTCTGATGGCATAAAATCAACTCATGTAAAATAATTGGTCACACAAATAAATTGAGCAAATACATCACTATATTTATAATGGGCTCATTAGGATAATTTTAGGATAATCTAATTAAAAGCAAATTCATTTGGAGAGAAACAAACAAATTTGAGTTCCCAAAACCAAAATGTATAGTTTGCATCTCAAATCAAATTCCAATCCCAGCCATTTTTCAGTTTGGCCCCTCCATCCATCCCTTTTTCCCTGTTCTTCTTTTCTCTCATTTTCCCAGTCGGCTACTGTTCATGGGCCGCCAGGTGCTCGACCAGAGCCCAAGCCGAACACCCAGCGACCCGCGTCGCATCACTCCCATGTGCCGCGCCGATCTCGCGCATGCATGCGCCGCGTGAGTATCCCATCGCCGCCCTCCCCCTGCCGCGCCGTGCCTAGCCCTGCGCGCTCCGCGCGCGTCGCGCCCCGTGCCGCTGCCGCGCGTGCCGTCGCGTCGCGTCGTCATCATCGCCGCGCCGCGCGCCGTCGCCACCGCCGTCGCGTCGGCTTCGCTGCCGCGCCGCGCGCCGTCTCGTCACGCCTCGCACCACGTGCCGCCAAGCCATGTGCCGCTGCCGCACCTCGAGCCCCGCGCTGCTGCATGTCGCCGCGTCCCGTCGCTGCCACACGCCGCCGTCGCCCTCGCGTCGCCGCTCCTACCGCACCGAGCCCCGTGCCGAGCCACACTGAGCCCCACGCCATCTCTCCCCGCGCCGCGCAGTCTTGTCGCCGTCGCTGCCGCGCCATCGCGTCGCCGTGTGTCGCTGTCGCCGCTTTGAGCCCCGCGCCGCCGCACGCCATCACGTCGCCGCACGTCGCCCTCACCCTCGAGCCCCGTGCGCCGTCCGTCGCGTCGACCATTAAGTCAGCCACCCTTCCTGCACCCTATAAATACCCCCTCCCATCTCCCTTCCTCCCCACACCATCTTGGCTACCATCACAAAGCCCCAAGAGCCCCCACGAGCTCGTCCTCCCCTCTCTGCCTCTTCTTCTCCCTTGTATGCATTTTCTCAAACACCTTGTGTGCATGCCGGCAGCTTCTTCTCCGCTCCACCAACGCCGCGGAGCTTCGTCGTTCCTCCATCCCGAGGTAAGTCCTCGCCCCTATAGCCTCTCCTAGTTCCGTAGAAACTAGAGCCCCTTTAATTTCGCCAATTAGCAACCGTAGCCGTGCCAGTCCGGCCACTGTTTTGCTGCCGGTGAGCTCGCCGTGGACATGCCATCCCAGAGCTCCTCCTCTCCATCTAGTGAGCAAAATAGAACCCTCACACGCCGTAGATGCTCACGCACTCGTCGAATCGGTTGTAGACCATCCAGTTCACCCTAGCCGCTTGCAACCCAAGGCTTGGCCATGGCGGCCATGCCGCGCCGTTCGTCCCCGCGCCACCGTGTGCCTTGGCCGCCTGCCGGGGTACGCCGGAGCTCCTCCAAGTCGCCCCTAGCCGTCGCTGAGTCGCCCTCGCCCGGGCCTAGCCGCGCCGTGCTCTTCTCGGCCGATGGCTGGAGGAAGAAGACGACGGGAAAAGAAAGAACGAGAGAGTGAGAGGCCGGGCCCTCCTGTGCAATTTTGCATTGAAAAATAATTCAGTAGGAAAAAGGAATAAACCCAGGGTCCCACTTGTCAGTTGGTACAAGGCTGTGGATATGTCTTGGATTAAAAATAAATCGTTTATGAACAGTATCTTTTCGCAATTTCTCGGATTAATTCAAATTTGAATCTTTACACTAGCATAACTTACTCATTTTAACTCGAATTTGAGTGAACCTTGAACCTAAATTCATCTAAATTCATAAACTTTCCAATGGTATATAATTCACTATTTAATAAAATATATTTATAATTATAAATTAATTAATATCAAATGATTAGATAACAGTTAACCTAAATAGTGTGCCAATAAATAATAAAAAATGGATATTGTACAGTAGCATAATTATCTTTAATATGTTTTGTCGCTGTAGCAACCACATAAATTAGTTATAATATATCCTTCAAATTAATGGGTGTATAGGAAAATATTAGTGCCATTTACTAGTCTATGTCCAAATATAACTAAATCCATGACTTATAAATTATTTACATAAAATTTAGCCTCATATTTTGTAACTAAAATATAAACACACATAGATGAATCTTTAACTTGTTTAGGAGAATAATCACAGAGCTAGTTGTATTTGGACCACTTAAAAGTTAGTCCATACAATGTCATGTGAAGTAGAATATATATATATATAGTTCGGTTGACATCCATTAGTTAACCAAACAGAGCCATCTTAAAATCAACATGTATTGTATAGCTTACAGTAAAAAGCAACTACTCAAATATATGATCCAATAATAAGATATTGTTGCTTACACATATACTATACATTCCATTATAGTTGTACGGTATAGTATTAATTTGCGTGTTGCATATATTAAATTAGAGGGAGTATATGACAAACATGTATATTAGATAAATACTAGTTATAAATCTTGACCTCATATAATTATAATTATAATTCAACTGTAAATTAGGATTGTTCATTAAGAGATAATCTACAACCACAATATAATCTAACCTAAACAACTCTAACATTCAAAGCGTAGATAATTATTATCCTTTTATAATTTATTGTGGTAAGTAAAATATGTTCATAATTAAAGTAAAGCCCCCATCAATAGAATAATAATAATAATACAAATGATTCACTGTAATTATTTGATTGATCCTAAATCCATCCAACA